GATCCACCCGCCTCGGCCTCCCAAAGTGCTGGGATTACAGGCTTGAGTTGTTTTTGAAACATTGTTTCGCTCTTGTTGCCCAGGCTGCAGTGCAATGGCCTGATATCGGCTCACTGCAACTTTCACCTCCTGGGTTCAAACGATTCTGCCTCAGCCTCCTGAACAGCTGGAATTGCAGGTGCCCGCCACCATGCCCAGCTAATTTTTGTATTTTTAGTAGAGACAGGGTTTCGCCATGTTGGCCAGGCTGGTTTCGAACTCCTGATCTCAGGTGATCCACTAGCTTTGGCCTTCCAAAGTGCTGGGATTACAGGCAAGAGCCATCACACCCGGCCCAGATTCTGCATTTCTAACAATGCTCCCAGGTGACGCTGATGAAGCTGATTGGTTAACTGTACTTTAGCACGATAAAGAGGATTTTACAAACCAGTAGAGTAGAGGGTGGCTGCAGGCTGGAGAGGAGGAAGTCCAGGCTAACAGCCTGGCAACTTGAGGTGGTCTCCGCCCCCTTGCTTGCTGAGGTTCCCTCCCAGGAATCCAACACGTGACAGTCTGTCTGCCGTCTCCGACTAGAGGAGCCCTGTAAGCGCCATGGCTCCCAAGAAGCTATCCTGCCTTCACTCCCTGCTGCTGCCGCTTCTGACGCTACTGCTGCCCCAGGTAAGATGAGGCAGTTGAACTTGGTGGGGGGGGGGAGGGGGTGGGGGTGGGGGTGACTCAGGACCAGATCCAGCAGATAAGAGAAAGTCAAAATTAACAACCAAACCACCCTCGGGGCTACTTCCATCTCCTCTGCTTTGGGCAGGCACTGACCCTCGACCCTCCCTCCAGGCCTCTGCTGAGCAGCATCACTTTCTCTTTGTAGGCAGACACTCGGTCGTTCGTAGTGGATCGGGATCATGACAGGTTTCTCCTAGACGGGGACCCGTTCCGCTATGTATCTGGCAGCCTGCATTACTTTCGGGTACCGCGAGTGCTTTGGGCCGACCGGCTTTTAAAGATGCGATGGAGCGGCCTCAACGCCATACAGTTGTAAGAAGTGTTGGCAAGAGCCGCGAAGGGGTGGGATCTACCACCGACTTAGAAAGGAGGTTGGGATGGGAAGACTGGCATGTTTGAACAGGGCTTAGAACTCCAGGACTCCTAGGCCAAGGGTGAGAAAGGACAGGGCAGGACTTCCTTCCAGCCGCTTCCTGGAGATGCCCTGCAAGGCCTGAGCCCTTAGGCCCCCTGGTGTCTCTCCACCTTGGGCTCTGTTAACCTCTTCCTTTCTCAGTTATGTGCCCTGGAACTACCATGAGCCACAGCCTGGGGTCTATAACTTTAATGGCAGCCGGGACCTCATTGCCTTTCTGAATGAGGCAGCTCTAGCGAACCTGTTGGTCATACTGAGACCAGGACCTTACATCTGTGCAGAGTGGGAGATGGTGAGTTAGCTGGAGAAGGGATAGAACCAGAGTTATCCTTGTGTGGTTCCTAGAGCACTCCCATCTGCCCACCCTCTAGGGCCATCTCCAGCACTATACTCAATTCCTTCCCTTTCTTCTTTCGCCACCACACCCCAAAACAAAACCTACATGCTTCTTTGTCGTCTTTATGTTTGTCTCAGGGGGGTCTCCCATCCTGGTTGCTTCGAAAACCTGAAATTCATCTAAGAACCTCAGATCCAGGTGAGTTGAGACAAAAGATTTAACACAGAAGCAAGTAAAATGGGCCATTTGGATGCCAAAAGCAGAAGAGACCATTCCCAAATTGGAGTTCATCATTCATATACCAAGTGTTTCCTTCATGCTTAGCAGGATACTAGAAACTGGGGGACCAGACATACACCCATCCTTGTGCAGTGGAGCTTATAATATAGTGGAAGAAGCTTATTTTTTTAAAAAATGGCCGGGCGTAGTGGCTCACCCCTGTAATCCCAACACTTTGGGAGGCCAAGGCAGGTGGATCACAAGGTCAAAGAGATGGAGACCATCCTGGCCAACATGGTGAAACCCCATCTGTACTAAAAATACAAAAATTAGCTGGGTGTGCTGGTGCGTGCCTATAGTCCCAGCTACTTGGGAGGCTGAAGCAGAATTGTTTGAACCTGGGAGGTAAAGGTTGCAGTGAGCCAAGATCATGCCACTGCAGTCCAGCCTGGTGACAGCGAGACTCATCTAAAAAAAAAACAAAAAACAAAAAAACCCTATTATTGCAAGCTATAAAAATACTATGCAAGAAAGTAAACAAGGAGTTGAGATATGAATGCCAGTGGGCCTCTTGTAGGTAGGGTGGTCAGAAAAGCCTTCTCTGAGAAGGTAGCATTTCAGTTGACTTCTAGGGAAGGAAAACACTGGCATTATGAAGAGTGAGGCAAGAACATTCCAGGTAGAAGGGATGATAGAGGTCCTCCGAGATGGGAAAGAACATGGCACGATTGAGGAACTGAAAATGGACCGGCATGGCTGAAGCATTGTGGGTAGGAAGACAACAGTATAACATGAAATCGAAGATGAGATGGAGACGGTCGATGCAGGACCTTGTGCGCCACTGCAAACAACTTGCATTTTATTCCAAGTACAGTAGAAAAGCATTGAGAAAATTTAACCAGATATGTGACATGATGTTTTAAAATATTCCAGCCTGGATGTGGGAAATGTATTCAGGGGGCAAGGGCAGGGGTGGAGAAACTAATTGGGAGCTATCACTTTCGCTAAGGGCAGAGATGATGGTGTCTAGACTAAGGCAATGGCAGTAGAAACAGAAGGAAGAGGGCAGACATGAGAGATGGTTTGGAGATAAAAATCGCCAGGACTTGTTGATAGATTTTGATTGGAAGGGAGAGGGTGAGGTGGTATAGGTATGATTGGGAAAGAAGGGCATCAAGGCAAGGGTGGCAGATGAACAACTTTAGGGGCAAAAAATAGTTTTGTCCTGGTCATGTTAAATTTTCATGTCACACTCAAGTGACGATATTAAGTAAGCAATGTATGAATACGGAGCTTAGTGGAGTGGTCTGAGCTAGACATATGAATTCGGATGTCATTTAGATGGCATTTAAATCCATGGGTACTGAGACAATAGC